ATTGGTTGGTTGCTTGGTGTCATTTATTGTCTGGTGGTTCAATTTAGGATACATTAAATAAAAGTTATATATATATATATTATATGTTATATACTACATACCATTTAACGCACATGTATGTTTATATATATATATATATATATATATATATATATATATATATATATATATATATGTCGGACGCTTTTAGTGCTAAAGTAGGAGTGCATCAAGGATCAGTGTTATCACCGTTTCTGTTTGCAATTGTGATGGAAGTTGTGTGTGGAAACATAATGGAGGGTTTGTTATTTGAGATTTTGTATGCAGATGATTTAGTCTTGATGGCTGATAGCAATGGAAGAATTGCAGTTAAAATTTGACAGATGGAAAAGTGTTATTGAAAAGAAAGGGTTAAAAGTTAATATTGGTAAGACGAAGGTAATGGTGAGTGGGGAAGGTGGGGAACGAGTGATAAGTAAAATAGACCCCTGTGGGGTATGTGACAGGAGAGTGAAGGCTAACTCGGTATTGTGTATAGGATGTCAGAAATGGGTGCATAAGTGATGTAGTGGTGTGAGGGGTAAGAAATGTGTTCATGGTGTAATTAATAGGACGGACGCAAGGACGGGGTTGAGTGGTAGTATTGAAAGAGTGGAAAGCTTTGTTTACTTAGGGGATAAGCTGAACGCGGATGGAGGATGTTTGAGCGCAGTTACGGCTATAGTTCGTGTGGGATGGATGAAATTTAGGGAACTGGGTGGGATATTGTGTGGAAAGAAATGGTCATGAAGATGAAAGGGAGGGTATATAAAGCATGTGTGAGAGCAGCGATGGTATATGGTGGTGAAACTTGGGTGTTGAGGAGAGAGGAGGAAAGTGTACTGCAGAGGGCTGAAAGAGCTATGGTGAGGATGATGTGTGGGGTTGAAGTGAAGGATAGGAGGAGTAGTACAAAGCTGATGTCAATGATGGGACTGAATGAGGACATTGTGACATTGATAAGGAGATCGAGATTGCGGTGGTATGGACATGTGTTGAGAAGGGATGAAAGGGTCGGGATTAGGCGAGCGTTGGAGTTCGAGGTTGAAGGAGTGGTAGGAAGGGGTCGTCCGCGATTGGGATGGAGAGAGCAGGTGGAGAAGGACAGGGTGAAAGCGGGGTTGCGTGATACTGAGGCGAGTGACAGATGTGGATGGCGTCGAGGGGTATTTCGGTTTCATCATAGGTAGCCAAACGGCAACCCCCGATCTCGGGGAAAATGTCGTCTAAACGAAGACAACAACAACAACAACATATATATATATATATATATATATATATATATATATATATATATATATATATATATATATTAGAAGTTAACTAAAGCCGAACATGCTGTGATTTTCATCAATAATATATATAATATTAAATAGTTATATTACATCTAGGAACTCCTTTTAAAAATAATATTCTGAATCTGATTCATAATTCCTTCTCCATATAATTTCTTTTTTAATCTCTTTATTATTCACCTATATACGTCCTACCTCGGGGAACCGGGTCCCTGGATGCAAAACGAAGATTAATTGATTGATTGATTTACCTATATCCTGTGTCATTATTCAGAATTCAGCTAGGTTATAAATGTGGTATGTATTTAATATCGTTTTGTGCATTACATGTTCTATTTTATGTTGTGTCGTTTGCTCACAATAATTCTACCTTTATTTTAACCTAACGTGGTATTTATTATTATTATTATTGTTGTTGTTGTTGTTATTGAGATTCATCTATACAGATTATTCAATATCAGTGTCGGATTGCGAACATCTATCCCCTCCGATTCTGGTCAAACGCGGTGTGCTGCAGGGCGATCCTTTTTCACCATTGCTGTTCAACCTTTGTTTTAATCTACTGATGAAATTGCTAGAAAACAAAAAGTACTAGCAATGCGGATATGTGGGGTCCTACAGCCGACCCGAAAGCAAGAGTCTGGTTCCAATTTGCTGACGATTCAGCAATAATCACCAATAGCAACAAAGGGGCACAAAGGTTTATTGACCTCAACTAGACTTGGTGTGAAGCTTCCGGAATGGAAATGAAAATTGTCAAGTGTTGCGTATTTGGCATAAAAAAATGGAATGTACGGCCTCAAATTTAACAAAAATGAGAAAACGAAAATTCTGTGGTGCGAATTGACCAAAGACTACATTAAAATAGACAATTTGCTTACGGACTCTGAAGACATCAATCCTACTCTTAAAAATTTTATTTCTGAGCAACAAGAAATTGAATTTTCCCACCTCACATGTTTAGGCTGCCAAGGTACAGTGATGAAGGCAGTAAAAGAGCATATCAGCGCGTCTCAAATTATTCGTTGGTCGAAAACGATAGCCACACTTTCAGAAGTAATTTTTAAATTTGATATGAAAGCTCTCATTCACCAGCTGCCATCAAACTCCAACCTGACCAGATGGGGCAGATCTTCAAACGCTCAATGTCCATCGTGCAGCACCAAGCAAACCAGCGAACATGTTATATCTAATTGCGGCTCATCAACAGCTTTAAAACGATACACGATTCGATACAACGTAATTTTAACAATAATTTTAGAAAACATCAAAAAGTGCGCGAATCCAGAAGTTTCTATATTTGCCGACTTGAATTAGGAAGATTGCCGCCCAGTCTCAACACTTTTCAAGTTGTTTCGTCCAGATATTTTTCCGGTTCACAATAACATCATTGAAGTTCTCGAACTAACAGTGTATCATGTAACGAATTTGGCAAAGTCGAAAGAATTTAAAATTAAAAATTATAATCAAAATTTGTAATTAAATTTAAAAAGCGAATACAATAACTTTAAACTTCTAATAAAAACTTTCGAAATTTCTATATTAAGATTTTATACTTTTAATTTATCACTTGTCAGTTTAGTATGGTCCGAACATTTTAGAAACATTTTAATAAATTCTGTTTTATCTTCATCATATTCAATACATTGTGACAGAAATAGCGAATAAATTCTATTTTAAACTAACATCTCCTATTAGTACTTATTCGTATTGAATGACAAGTGAAATGGACTACCAGTTTTTTTAATTTTAACTTTATTTCATCTCAGTTATAAACCACGAAATATTCTTGAAACAAAAAGAAAAATTCGAATGCTATTGATCTATTATCGATTTTTTAAATGTCACATGTATGCATGTGTATATATTGCCCATATTCAGATGTATGTTTGTGTATGTATATTTTAACATGTCTACATTAGTCGATATACATTAATTGTTGGACACTTTTATCATTTTTATTTTTTATTCATTACATTCTATTATGTGCTTCACTGTGATCCTGCAAGGTTGTAATGATCACTCAGTGCTACTAAGTTAACAAAATAGATAAGAATAAATAAATTATATTAACACACATGTCCTGTCCAGTGCATTATACATTGTAATTAATAATGCAGATACGCTGACAAATGCTGTCGAAAGTTTCCAGGTTCCTGTCGGATCCATTGCGTTTTTTATCATGATCATTCTCGAAGTAAGTTTATTCGTTATAAAAGTTTATCATTCAACCTTGTAAGCTCACAAGTTAGATTTATCGAATGTCGGGAATGCTGTCACGTGTGCTTAACTTCCTGATATTCAAACAAACATTTGAATATCAATCTGATTGAAATACTAGGAAAATTCTCACTACCATATCCTTGAGTTTATGGTTTTAACTTAAATGCGTGCTTCTATGGCAAGCTTTAAAGTTTTGCAATGAAGTAAATGATGCTATTTGAGTTGATCCTCTGTTGAATGAATGGAAATTTACATTATTCAGCTGTGAGTTTTGTAAACTTTTAAATGACTTCTCTTGATGATAGTTATGCTGGAACATATTTTAGAAGTGTTGGTTGCTGGTAATATTATTGCTGAAGCCTTGAGTGATTTTGCACATTTGTTTGGCAAATGTTGATTAAATTGAATGTTCGTTGCAGATACGCGAAAGACACTGCAGCTATGATGCCATGCAGTGGCCCAAAGGTTTCTTCAACCAGTGCCACCAGCAGCTATTAACTTTGGTCTATGCCCTACATCAACCAACCAAAACCACGAATTTGTGTTGGTTACATTTTTCCTTTGTTTGGTTTATTTCAACATTTCTCATTAAAAATAAATGTTTATTTAATACAGGAATTGAAAGTTTTATGGTGTGCTTATTTGACAATAAATAATAGGTTTCTACTTTGTTGTCGTTTGTAGATTAAGCGGTTGTATCATCATTTAGTTTGCAAAACTGTTTCTTAAAATTAAAAAAATTGTGTAAGATATACTTATTGGTTTTGGTGATAATAAATACTAATAGAGATGGATATGTTACTTGGTTCGTACTTGGTTGGAAGTAGGTTCAGGAACTGAATTTGTGATTTGAAGGATAAGCTGAATGCTAATAAACGAAGCTTGGAGCAAGATGAAAAGTTTAATTAATGTTGTATGCTTCAACAGTCTGATAATGGTGTAAGAGAAAAAAGAGCCACCTGTATTTAATTTGTTTGCAATCAATATATTAAAAGTAGTGAAGTTGATACAACTGTGTGTTGTTAGCGTGGAAGCATTGCTTTATATTTTATGTTTTCAAGCTGATGATCAAATTTTAAAATGTCGCTCAAAAAATTATTATTGCACAGTTGAAGATGCCAACAAAATTGAGAGATGCATATTTTCCTATGGACATTTGATGCACCAAGCTGATCCAAAGGATTCGTTGCAACTTCTCGTTCAGTTCATTTCGGGTCAGTTTTATTAAATTTTTTATATTATAGTGTCGCTAATATTAATATTGAAAATACAGGAATATATATATTATCAATATCAATCATTTTAATTTCATTTTTTGTTATGAGAACTTTAAATATTAACTTAATAGATCATTTATCCATTTCAACGTAAGCTCGTCAGTTTCAATCAATTTTGAGCTGCCAACAAGATGTTAATGAATTTTTGCGGGGTTTTGAGACCTAGCAAACGAACAGTTAAAATGTTTCTGGGACCTTACTGAGGTCTAACCGAGACCTAGCAAATGAACAGTTAAAATGTTTTTTCTTAATATAGAGAGCGCAATTAGTAAAGACATGCAGTCGTCCCAATGCACGCCTCTTTCACAGTTCCACACTGTAGTTGGCCAGGTGCCCAACCATATCAAGTCACATGTCTTCATCGCCATTGGTCAGCTTTTAATTCTTTTTGTTATATGTTGTTCTTTGTTTTATCACATTATGTTCAGAGTTACTTGTTCAATTTTTTCTAAATGTGATGTTTTTGTCATGTTTTGTTCTCAAAAGAAGCAGTTATGGTGCATTTTTGTTGGATCTTCCAAGCTAATTTATTTTTAGAAATGAAATTAATGATGTTTATTATTTTCAAAAGGCGCATTTAATTATTAAGCTATCACGCGCTAATTATCATTAGTTATCACTTAAATATGATCGTTTTTAAAAAGTAACTGGCTAGAATAAATGGAACAGTTTGAAAAGATAGCTACCGAATAATTCTTATTAATAAAAACCTGATGATTCTCCGTGCATGGAGCAGGCAAGTTGTGTCTGGTTAACGCACAGGCCGTCAAGTTGTGTGTGCCTGCACTCGTTCAGCAGTTGCAGACGTCCAGTGATTATCGCGTGAGGAACAACATCGTCATCATGCTTTGTGACCTCACCGTTAGGTATCTGACGTTGTTAACATTTAATTTCATCTTCAAACATTTTGTATTTTGATTGGCCACACACACACACACACACACACACACACACACACACACACACACACACACAACACACACACACATGTGTATATATATGATGATGATTGTAATAAACAGCGTAGAATAGTGATGAAAATAATACCCAATGAATGAGTGCATGTATCAATGCAATCCATGTTGGCAGATACACGCTGATAGTTGACCCGTACATGAACTGCATTACATCATGTCTTCAAGACGAACATCCACTCATCAGGAAACAAACATTCATCATGCTCACCAAACTTCTTCAGGTTTCTCATCTCGTCATCATTTTTTTTAAATTAATTTCTTTTATTTACCAAATCAAATCATAATTAAAGTTGAATGAAATAATCCGGAGATAAAAAAAAAGATAATACTATCTTGTGACAGACCACCGCTGTAATGAAATTAGAAAATAAAATTAAATGAAAGAAAAATTTCAATAATTTTTGTGCTGACTTGATAAAACTTCACGTTAACTAAATAATTAATATTTACATATATACTTATACACATACACCTGTAAAGGTATTTGAAAGAGACTGAATTGGTAATTAATTAAATGAAAATGTTTACCTAGGTAAAAAGTTTTACGTAGTTCGAAGATAAATATCACAAAAGTTGTTGCAAATGAGCAATCAGTTAAATTAAATGCTGTTTATTCCATACATGTACAATAGGACCCCGCACAACGAACCTAATCCGTTCCGCGGGGAAGTCCGCTATGCGAAGTTCGTTCTGCGAAACACGAATTCCCATAGACTTCTATATAAAAATAATTTGTTCTGCGACGAACCAAAAAATGGGAAAAAATCAGAAAAACAAGTGGAATTCAGTGAATTTAATCAGTTTGTCTTTTTTCACTTCTCAGAAACACTTAGCAACAAGTTGAAAAGCAGTAAAAAGTGAAAAAACTAAAAAAATTAGTTAAATTTTTATTTTAATTAAACTTTTATTTTTTTTAGTTAAACTTTGACGTTCATTTTGCAAGTCGACTTGAATCCACAAGTACGTGAGTTTATAAAGGATGAGAATTTCCAACTTGCTCTCGCTCTCGTATATATATATATATATATATATATATATATATATATATATATATATATATAAATTTGGAATAATATATATATATGTATATATATATATATATATTATTCCAAATTTTATTAGAACAAAAAAAATTCAGGAGATCAATAAAAGTAAATTACTTGTGGAGACCACCCTTAACTAACAACATCAGTGTTTGAAATAAATGAAATAAACAATAAACTGTCATATATAGATATATACGCACATCAATAATACCAACAAGTTATCACCTAATAACAGTAGTAATAATACAATATTATCAATATCAATAATAGTCTTATATATACTTATATATACACACATACATACACCTACAATAATAAATAAAATGCATGCATGAACAAACAATATGTATATAATCGATTCACGTCACTGACGATGACCTCCGTGGAGGCCAGCAGAGATGTAACACCATCCCCTCATCATATAGGGTCCGTATGCTGGTCCCTTTGAAGCATTAGATACTAATGCATTTCTTTTTTAGGCCTTTTTTCAAGGCATGGAGACAAGGACACATCAAGCCACTCATGCCCAAGGTGTTCCAGAGTTTCACTCCTCTTACTGTCCAGTATCTGTAATTTAGGTCGGTACGACCATGTGCCAATTTCAGCATACCACATCGTCTAGTCTTACTAGAGACAGTTTCAAGCGTCATTAATTTCCCGTAATCATAATTATTTAAGACCCATTTTTACTTGTGTTATCATCAGTTGGTTTATCATGTTTGAAGATCTATTCACGGACCACCACAATCTTCTGGCATTATATCTGGGTCTGTCATTTTAGTAGTATCAGTCGCCTCAACACAGACTCTGAAGTCTGTCGCATCCTCATCATCTCTGTTAGTGATATCTTTTTCTGGTGTATCTTTGCCACCTAGAATGGGAAAGCAAGTTAAAACATGGATCCTATTTGATGGGAGGAAATCGGTGACATCCTTTCTGTTGCATGTTTGAAGGTTGCGCATATGAAACACCTTCTTTTTAATGAGTTTCTTATTGGCCTGCAGTTTGCAGCCTTCATTCAGTTTTTTACCAATGATTTTTATTGGCCTTTTGTTTTTGGATTTAACTTTTTTACAGGTTCATCTAAAGCATTGATGCTAAACCTTTTTTTTCAGAGGGCCATTTGTACATAATAAAAATATTTGAAGGGCCATCTAATCACACACACAGACACACACACACACACACACATGTATATATATATATATATTAGGAAGAAGACCAAGTTCTATACAGTTGTTCAAAAAATCCACCGACGATTCAGCATTAACAAGTTTTATGGTTGATTTTCTAATATCTTGAACTAGTTCTTTACAATTAAGTCTATTCAAAATGTTGAAATCCATTTTATAATCGTTTATGATTTTAATTGTTAAAATTAATCAAGCAAGATCCCATTTTTATAATCGTTTATTTTTATATTATTATTAAAATTATGCATATAGATCTATTTCGACGTAAAGTCATCATCAGTGCAATATATTTTAAATAAATTCTATTAATAGTTAATTAGTTGTATTTTTTAATATATTAAAATAAAATAAAAGTAACGAAATAAAAACGCAAAGGTTCATTGAAATTAGTAAACAAAATATTTGAAATTATACGATTGTTCATGCTACGTGGCCGTTGTCAAGATGGCAACCAACAATGTCACAAATTTGAAGCGCGAAATTAATTAGAATATCGTTTCTATTATTATTATTATTATTAATATTATTAATTATTATTTTTATTATTATTATCATTATTATTATTATTATTATTGTTATTATCATTATCATTATTATTATTATTATTATTATTATTATTATTATTATTA